ATCAGTCAAATAAGAGGAAAACATTTGTATTGCAGATGATAAAAGTTGAAAAGAAATCAACTTTTGTAAGAGAGTATAATGATCAACTGTGTCAAACGCTTTATGAAAATCAATATATACAGCACCAGTTACTTGACTTGATTTGGGTTTAAAGTCATTAGCTGAATCTCAGATTAAGGAGGAACATTGTGGATTATTTATTTATTTGTTTGTTTGTTTGTTTGCAAAACTGTAAACCAGCTTATCACCTTTGCTTGGTTGCTAGACTATGGGTGTTCACCCAACTGGTTCTCATGTGTTTTGCGGATTTGCAAGATTTTGATTGTGACCCCAGTGGTTATTTGGTTCCCTAATCATTTAAAGCRAATTTTCCCCATTTTTATTGTTTGACCATTTTTTGCAAGCCTGTAGAATGACCCCCCCCAAAAAAATGCTACTAACCAGTTCATCAAAAAACCACAGTGACATTTTCCCAGGTTGTWTTTGTAGAGCACATAGTGTTTTCTTTACTGCACTCAAACAAATCCTTAGCATGCAGGATAGAGCACCATGCAGCTCTTACCAACAGATTCAGCTGCTGATCGATAATCTCATAAAGTTATTGCTGTAGGATATCCTCATGATAGGTCTTCATTTAGAATTAATTTTGTCATGAAGTTAAATACTTTCTTAGCCCACTGATGTCRCCAGAATTATTTAATTTTGCTTTTCACACACCTGTCATTGATCTGTATGTGACACACCTGTTCTCATTCAGTAATCACCCTTATCAATACTCTCACTTTTGGTTCTGCTCTTTGCTAGTTTGATGTTTTTTCATCATTTGGTCAACTATTTGTTCTAAGTTTGCTCTGCTTCCTGCTTTATGAGTGTCTGCAATTTGAGTCTAAATTCTCCCTTTACTGTGACGTCATCCATTTCTGTTCATTTATCGTCAGTTTGCAACATAATTCATATTCAGGCAGTTCATGGAGACATTTTTTTMAAAAGTAAATGTTACATTTATATGCAAGTAAATATAATCAAAAACAGTTCATTTTATGCAAATTAGGCTCAGTTCATAACCAACTGAAATCTTCACTTGACATACCTGTTAAATTACATTAATGCAACACTATATCATGTTATTTAAGTCTTGTCTGTATTACATAAAAACATAAAAATATATAAAAACTGATCCTGTAGAGTAGAGCAAAGGATAGCCAAGAAGATTCATTAAAAGATAGTCAAATATTATCACCTGAGGGTGTTTTTTTTTTGCTAAGATCCCTGATGTGTTCTAGAGGAGGTACATAAACTTGTAAAAAACACTTAGACCTGATTACAAACAGTTAAGGAATGGATAACAGATCAGTCTTTAATGGCCTGAGATTAGGTGTGAAGTTATTGGAGCTGATGACAGTTGTTTCTGTAGTTGGTTCTCTGGATAGTTTGAAACTAAAGATTGAGTCTGCAAGAGTTTTAACTACTGCTGGTTTTAAAACCGAAGCTTCATCAGAGAAATGTACCCTGCAAAGTGGTCCTCGTTTACCTGCATTCTCAGTGGATGGTGACTTTATTATTGGAGGAGTTTTTTCTATTCACTACAAACTGCAGTTAGTGATTTATAATTACACCACCAAGCCTGTACCTTTAAGATGTGGAGGAAGGTTAGTATATATTATTTTTTCTTTTACTAAAGTGTTTACACGCATGTTAAAGGACAAAAAATCATTCAGTAGAATGAATGCAAATACTGTACAGTCATGTTTAACTCATTCAATGTACGTGAGGTACTGTATAACTGAAAAAAAAAACTATTTTGTGCAGCCTTATAGCCCGAGAACTACGTTTTTCTCGCTCAATGATTTTTGCCATTGAGGAGATCAACAACAGCACAGAGCTGCTACCGGGCATAAAACTTGGATATCAGATCTATGACTCATGTGCTTCAGTGCCCATGGCAGTTGATGTGGCATTTCAACTGTCTAATGGCCAGGACCCTGTGTTTTCTAAAGGCAGCAACTGTTCCCAATCTGGTGTAGTGTTGGCAGCTGTTGGTGACTCTGCATCCACACCATCAATCAGCATATCTCGCATTTTTGGATCCTTCAACATCCCTCTGGTAAGTTCTATGGAATATTTTAAAACTAAAATTGTGAAGTATAGCTGCTGATCGTGTGATTAAAGAGCTTGGTCTTTAAAAAAAAACATATTATTGTGTTCTCTTTTCGTTCTACATGGCATCCCTGATGTTATGTTTGAATGACAATAGAGCGAATCTTTAATCTTTATTTTTTCAAAATAGGTGAGCTACTTTTCTACCTGTGCCTGTTTGTCAGATAAACAGCAGTACCCAAGTTTCTTCAGAACAATTCCCAGTGATCATTTCCAAGCTGATGCTCTGGCCAAGCTGGTGAAACACTTTGGCTGGACATGGATAGGCGCTCTTCGCTCTGACACAGATTATGGAAATCATGGAATGGCATCTTTTCTTGATGCAGCTCAAAGAGAGGGGATCTGTGTGGAGTACTCTGAAGCCTTTTCCTGGGAAGACCCATATATCAAGATTCAAAGAGTTGCTGACATTATCCGCAGGTTTCAAGCTCACTAATTAAACTTGTTTGTGTTAAAGTAGAAATGCTGAAAAAAAAGAGAAAAAACAGAGTTTAGTCTCGGAATTGAATTAGGTCTCCTAACTCGTTTTTTTAATATTATAAATGAAAGCAACTAAAGGTAAATGTTCCTTTTAAAAACACTGTAATTGCTATCAGAATATATATATATATATATATATATTGAGCTTGAATTACTGAAATTATGAGTTACATGTTATCCATCGGTATATTCATGTATGTCAGAAATGTATAACTGGTAAATTTACTGTAGGTCAACATTTTCCTGTGTCCTTCCAGATCAACAGCACTGGTTGTTGTGGCTTTTGTAGCCTCTGCAGATATGAAGGTCCTGTTAGAAGAGATGTCTCGCAAACCTCCACCACCTCGACAGTGGGTAGGAAGTGAGGGTTGGATAACTGACCCAAACTATTTGAGCTTCAGTTTCGGTGCAGGGGCCATTGGTGTTGGCATTCAGCGAGCTGTCATTCCAGGTTTAAGGAACTTTCTGCTGGATCTCTCTCCCACTGAAATAGCTTCCTCTTCTCTCCTTAMTGAGTTCTGGGAAGATGCATTTAACTGCACATTGTCAAACAGTGAGAGTTTCATGATTTTGTTTCTATTATCTAAAAATATTGTGTATTAGTCTGTTCGCTATCTAGCAGCTCTTTGACAATATAAAAACAGTCTGTCTTTGTTTTCAGATGATTATCCAAACAAAAAAGTTTGTGATGGAACTGAAGATATAAATACTCTCAAAAGCCCGTACACTGAAACATCTCAGTTAAGAAATACTAATATGGTGTACAAGGCTGTTTATGCAATAGCTTATGCCATCCACAATGCAGTGTGTGAGGAAACTAATGGTACTACTAGGTGTGACAAACACTTCAAATTGGGGTCCAAACAGGTCAGTTAGAAAATTAAAAAAAAAATCCCCGGATACTTATAATTTTTATATACCACACTGATATTTAAAATCAGCAATAGATTTGTTAATACTGCTCTAAAATTATTAAATTTCAATTTGTGTTTTGCCAGGTATTTTCCAAACTAAAACTCGTTAACTTTACCAAAAACGGTTATCCTGTGTCATTTGATGCTAATGGAGATCCTGTGGCTTTTTATGAACTGGTCAACTGGCAAAAGAGTGAAAGTGGAGTTATTGAGCTGGTAACAGTAGGATACTATGATGCATCACTGCCTAAAGGCCAGGAGTTTCGGATCAACAGAAACATAACCTGGGTGAATGGTGGCACGCAAGTAAAGAGCCTAAATGTTTAGGAAATAAAATGAAAATGTAATAAATTAAATAAAAAAAACAAAAAACAAACAAAATAAAAAAACGCTGTGTTGCTTTTGCATTCTGTGTTGTATTTGTCTGACAGGTTCCAGTGTCAGTGTGTACTAAAAGCTGTCCTCCAGGAACTCGTAAGATGTTACAGAAAGGAAAACCCATCTGCTGCTATGATTGTATACCATGTCCTGAAGGAGAGATCAGTAACATGACAGGTTAAAAACTTTTTTGTCTGAATCTTTAACAAAGATTTTTGTGTGTTGAAAGTTTTTTTGTAATTTATTTTTCTTTTCGTCTTTTCAGATTCCATTAATTGCTTCCCATGTCCCAGTGAACTCTGGCCTAATGCACAGATAGATGCGTGCTTACCTAAACCTGTTGAGTTTTTGTCATTTGATGAAGTTCTGGCAATCATCCTGGCTGTATTCTCTGTTATTGGAGCCTGTCTGGCCATCATAACTGCAGTTAT